TGAGCCTTCGCCCCCCTCCTTGCGCAGTGTCCCCCACTATGTGTCGCCGTTATCGGGGCATGCTATCCTGTGTAGTCAGGGCAAGTGGGGGCGGGGGGCACTCCCACCGACGTATGTATCTGTGGTGACTGTCTCCAGTCTCGGAGGGGGGCTTGAAGCTAAGAATATTTTATTTTTTTCCGGTTCTTGTTTTTAAAACCCCGCTTCTCTCTCTTGTTTTTTTTGGCGTGCGGCGGCGCTTCGTGCCAGTCGCAAGCATCACACAAGTTTTTTTTCAATTTTTGCCCGGCCGCGCGTTGCTGCGCAAAAGCTTTTGTGTGCGCGGGTTCGCGCTGCGCTAGGCTCAGAGCGAGTTCGCGCTGCGCTAGGCTCAGACGGCGAGTTCGCGCTGGCTAGCTAGGTAGGAGAGAGGGGGTTTGTTTGTGTTGCTAGGTAGGTAGGTAGGCTGAGAGGAGAGAGAGATTTTTAGCAAATTTTTTCATCCACTGTTTCGCGGGCGCTTACCACTGCCTTTTCACCGACGGTGGCGAAGAGGGCTGGCAGCATCGCCCTCCTGCCTGACACGCACGCCGCACGCACGCACGCTGCGCAGCCGCCGCCCCCAGCCGCGATGGAGAACATGGCCGTCGAGAACGTTAACAACATCGTCGGCACGTTGAAGCGTCGGCAGGTAGAAATGTTCTCGGACGAGCACATGGACGAGCACATCAACAAGCGCCTTGCGACAGCCGCCGATGCGCTGCAACAACGGCGGCACTGGCTCGAGTCTGCGAGCAGCGAAGACCTGGATGCGTGGCGGCAGCGCGGCGATCGCGCCGCGCTCTGCCGGCTCGCTTCAGACGCCGCGGGCGACGCCCACCCGAGCTTTCTTCAGCTCCTGCACGCGCTGCTGCACAGCCGCTCATCTGATGAGGATGCATCGCTGATGGCTCGCGTGGCCAGTGTGCGCGACCGTGCCACGTCGGCTCACGCCGGCGGGCGATTTGTTGCGCTTCACGAGGCAGCCGAGCTAGTCCTCGCTC